ACCAGAGAGTTGAACCCAAACATGAAGAATTTCCTCCTAGATATGTTTTTCTATTGTACTATTTAATTCCCAAACCATTTATTAGGGAGCCCAGAAGGATTTCAGTTTTTGGCATTTTGTTGATGTGCTCTGAACTAAAATTTGGATTAATTTCTGAAGGCATCTCTTGAGGGGTAATGTAGCAAGAGGATCAAAAAGAAATCACTTGCCCTCCGGCACAGTGGGAATTTAAGGGACACTGGGTACCATTGGGAATTACTCTAGACAGCAAATTCAAACTTGTGATTGTGGGAACTCACTAATTAATTTTCGTTGGTTATTGAAAGAGGCAGGTGTCATTGGCAATCGAGATACACATGGAATGTAAACAGGTGACATGAGGGGCTGATTTTCCTGATACAAATCCACTGCTCAAGTCATCTATCTTCTGAAAAATTACAGGGACTAAATTTTTAAGGGTTTTTTAGGCAGCAAGAAAAATGAAAAAATAAACCACATTCTAATGGTTTAGGAAGTTGAGAGGAAAAGGCATTTCTAGAGCCATAATTATGAAAACATTCTCATATGTATTTCCTTAAATTAGTACTGAGCACTGGAAATCATGATTTTATGTGAGTGTGCTGTTTTTAGTATTGTATGGCATGCATTGACATTTTTCATGTTTCTACAGCTACTAATTACTTGCAAAATATTTGATGTTTAGAGAGAAGATATTTAATGATGCTGTAATGCATAGTTAGCCCCTGCTCCTCTTGTTGATAAATATTAATTTCCTTTTATTGTTCTCTGGATTTGCTACCACAGGCCAGAATATGGAGAACGGTTTTGTAGTAATGAGAGACAGTACATGCCGTGGGCAGGTGGGGCCGGTGAGGGGAGAGAAACTAGAGGGTGGGAGATGCTGTTCCCTTCACAGAAAATCTGTCTTATCTGAGTTAGGGTGCACTAAGAAGTGTGTAGGGTGTTCCGTGGGAATAGGATGCTGCAGATGAGGTGGAAGGCTGCACTATACTCTGACAAAATTGGATTACATAATTTTCAGATCCATAGTATTACGTGTAGAATGGCTTGCATCGGTGACAGTTAATTTTTATGTATCAACTTGACTGGGCCAAGGGGTGCCCAGAAAGCTGGTGGACCTTCTGTCTGGAAGTGACTGTGAGGGTGTCTCAGGAAGTTTAACATTTGAGTCAGTACTCTGAGGCAAGAAGATTCCCTCACCAGTGATGGGGGCATCATCCCATCCACTGAGGGCCCATACAAAACAAAACATGGTGGAGGAAAGGCGAATTCACTCTTTCTGCTGAGCTGGACGTCCATCTTCTCCTGCCCTGGGGCATCACCACTCCTGGTTTTCCAGCCTTCGGACTCTGACCAAGACTTTGTGCCATCTGCCCCCGATTCTCAGGCCTATGGGCTCCGACCAGGACGCACACTGTTGGTTCCCCTCATGGTTAGGCCTTTGGCCTTGACCTGAACAACACCACCAGCCCCCCGGTACTTCCAGCTGGCAGACAGCAGGTCATGGGACTTCCTGGCCTCCACAACCAGGTGCACTTATTCCTATAACAAACCTCCGCTTCTGTATCAATACATGTAGATCCTACCGGCTCTGTTTCTCTGGTACCCGACCACAATGTCTCACTTTTTCCTACTTACCTTGTTTCATTTGACTCCAGGAACAGAGGCAGAGCAGATCTTATTATTACCCCATCTTTCATATGGTGAAAGAGACCACGCAGGTCAGGAGCCTGTCCGAGGGCACTCGGGAGTCTGTGCATCTCAGAAGCCCCCTCTCCGGCTGTTTGCTGATGCCCTGGGGGCGCTGGGGAGGCCAGTGAGCCAGGACGGCTGTAGGCTTTCTACACCAGCTCTCGTGGGACCCAGGGAGTCGGGATGGCGGCGATGCTAAAGGATTTAGTCTGAGTTAAAACACTGCATTTCCTCACAATGAATTCATGCCCTTGTTTTTCACTGAGAAGTTTTGCTTTTCCTTGTTTAATTTTTGTAGGAATATCCTTGGCTGATTAAAGTGGCAGGAAAAGCTGGAGGAGGCGAGGGAGCCCCTTCCAGCTTCCGTACGTTCTCTTAGTCTAATGAAATAACACTGCTTCCGAGTCTATTTTGTAATTAAAGGCGCCGCATGGACTTCGGTTTGTGCTCTTGCCTTTGGAGCCCTAATTTTCTAATTACATGGAAGGAGATTTGGGAAGTTGAGCAGAACTGATTTTGACTCGCCGTATGCAACTCTGGGAAGCGTTCCTCCCTTCGGTGCCTGCACTGCCCTTATCCATCACCTGCACGCACTTTGTTCTCCCTGCAGGATGCACCTCTTCCTGTGCATGAGGGGTAACACCATATCTAGTGGAGAAAGAGAGTTGGACCACCGGGCCCCTTTCTCCAGACGATACATCCCTTCTCTTCAAATGCTGTATCATCTCATTACCATCCCCCTGGGATTCGAGCCACCCCACCCAGTTTACCAAAGCTCAGTTACTTCACATAATCCATTTCTGTCCTCATTTTATTTGCTTCTTGAATATATTAATTAGTATTTATGATAGCTGTTGGTCAATATATTTCTTTTTAATGAAAAAAATGAGTGAGGTGGGTACAACACTCCCATCCCCATTTTGACCTCCATATCAAAATGCCCAGAAATGGTGAATATGATAGATAACATGGCAAAAGGGAATTAAGGATGCAAATGGAATTAAGATTTTTAATCAGCTGACCTTAACATAGGGTAAGTACCCTGAATGATCCTAGTGGGCCCAGCAGCCTCTAGAAACCAGGAGATGAGGGAAATGAATTCTCCCTTAGAGCCTTGAGGAAGAAGCCAGCCCAGCCAGTTTCGTCCAGTTCAGCCCAGTCTTTGAGTGTAGTCCAGTGGTACCCACTTCAGATGTCTGGCTTCCAGGATGGTAAGAAAATTAATTTGTATTGTTTTAAGCTCCCAAGTTAGTGGTAATTTGTTATAGCAGCTAGAGGAAGCTGATCTGGTAAAGAAGCTGAAGACACATGGCAAAGTCACGACAAAAGTCCAGCTCCACCGTAATGAGCCGGGACTGCTGCTCTGAGTGTGTCCTGGGGAGACGACAGGAGCAGAGAGCCCAGGCAGACGCACAGCGGGACGGGCAGAATGCCCGTGCACGGGAACATGTATACAAAAGCCTCCCAGTTAGCCTGCCCTTCTCTTCAAATAATGCATAATGATTCTGTTTGTATGTGTGTGCGAGCAGGGATGTGTTCTGAAATTATATTTGGGCATTCATGTATTGTTTTTGATAAACCAGAAGTCTGAAAGCTGGGTGTAGGGAAGCTCGATGATGCCGTCTGTGTATTTCTGAGCACTCCGCATCCAGAGAGGCTGGCCATCAGTCTGGGTGTTTTATTGAATGGATGTTGCAGTTGATTGCTCAGGCAATTAAGACAAAAAGATGTAGCATAATTTTTTCTTGCTTTGAGGGATTTTTTTTTCTTTCTAACTTCACACAGAACTACAGATACGGCTGCAGGCTGCTTTTGTGTGTTCTCCTTCCATGTATATGACATATGAAAACTACATATATTTTTACATTAAAAAGCCTGAAGAAATTAACAAAATAAACATCATCTGTACACACAAAATATAAGTGATAAATCACTGCTTCTTCAGACAATAAATGCATACAGTTATATGGAGTATACAGTCATTCCTGACATTTAAATTGTTATGTAGAATTAAACTAGTAGGAAATGTTTTCCTGCCCTCATATAGTTTTGATAGTTTCATGGAAATATGGCATTTTTTTCATGTTTGGTTAAAATAATCATTCTTAAAGTGCTCCCTATACATTCTGTATGGTGGAAACACTGCCTTGCATCTGTGGTGTTTCTGTGAATAAACTGGAATGCCACGCTGCTATTGCCTACCCTGTGCTCTTTATTGAACTAAGGAGGTATAAATAAGTAGTATGATACTGTGCTTATAAATAGTAATGAAAAGACAACACGATTGGTGTCACCAATTTTATGAAAATTTCAGAAACAAGTTCCATCCTTAAAACACTTGCTATTATCTTCATGCAAATCAATGAGAGCCATGCCGTGCCCCATCGCAGCAGACTGTTCTGTGTGGACGCTGTCTTAGGTAATTTATTGAGGTGTTGGGTTCTGTTTTTGCCATAGTCAAATAACTGAGTTAATTTCTCAAATATCTACATAACCAGTGGTACAGCTAAAGGACATCAATGCACTGAGAATTGTAGCAAGTGGGATGTTACTAGATATTGTGGGCTGAACTGTGCTCCCACCCCCACCTCACCCCATATGTTGAAGTACTAAACTGCCCCCCAGTCCCTCAGAACATGACTGTATTTGGAGATGGACTTTTAAAGGGGAATTAAGTTAGATGAGGTCATTAAGGTGGGTCCCCATCCTAGACGACAGCTGTTCATAGAGACAAGGACACAGAGACACACAGAGAGAAAGTGACAAGAAGATCTGTACAGGCAAGACTGCCATCTAACAGGAAGAAGAGAAGCCTCTGAAGAAATAGCCCATCTTCACTGACATCAGCTCATCCGCCAGCCACTGTACCTGTAAAAAAATACATTTCTGTTGTTTAAGTCCCCTAGTCTGTGGTCCTTTGTGATGCTGGGCTGGCAAGGAAACTCACCTGGTAGATCTGGCTCCTGGAAATCAGCAACTTAGCTCTTCAAAACAAAGTTGGGCATGGAACGTGTAGTCTCAATGACTAGCATTTCTTCTAGACAGTTTGCTAAGAAAATTGGCAATGTTGGCATTGATTTTGCAATCTGCATATTAATTGTGTCACACAGAATATTTTTGTAATTTTTAACTTGTTTATACTTTGAGTACTACACCCTTGAAATACATCCAGAACCAGCTAGAACTTACAGATGCTTACATTTTATATGAATTTATTTTACTATAACCCTCCTTTAAGACATGTATTATATTTTCCTAATCTGTTTGGTCTCTCCTTTATTTTCTAGATTACAAGTTTATGTTTTCTGTCCAACCTTTGGATTTCAGAAAAGCTCAAGAAAGAATAAACTGAAGAAACCAGAATCTCAACTAGTTTTATGTTGACAATCATTGTGTTTCATGTTTGTAGAGTTTTTTGTTTAAAGTAACATAGATGATGAGAGTTTCTACATTAATTTTTCCCTCAACTATGTTTTCTACCCCTTCTACATACAGAAAATTAATATTGGCCACAGGAAGCAAGAAATCACTAGAAAAGCTGATGGGGGAAAAGAAAAATTGGAAAATGGTAAAAGGAGAATGAGAGAAAGGTACTTTGGTACGTGTACTTCAAAACAAAGGCCATTTCCAACAATAATTTTCAAAGTTACTTTCTTATTTTTTGCAGATGGGGAAGTGGCAGTCTAGGATTTTTTTATTTCTTCATTCTTTTTCAAATTCCTATAACACTTTAGGATGTAGATATTTTTACATATTTGGAAAGATTCTCTAAACAGATGTTCATTGTCTCAAGAACAACCAGTTTTCAAATCATGCAAATGCTTTTAGGTAAAAAATAAATAAACAGAGTAAAGACTGATTTTTAAACAACATATGCTATAAACACTAAAAACGCGGCTCACTGATTATTGGTTTGTAATGTTGATCGGATGTTTGCCTGTTTTTGTCCATGGGTGGGCAAAGTACTAAGTGGCACATGTGTCATCGATCACTTTGTTCAAGTTTTTAAATTCAGGCTTTATTTTAAACTCAATCACTTCTGAGTTATACTCTTTTTCTGACTTCAGAGTAATTTAAGATGAATAATTATTTAGGATTTTCTAAAAATTCTAGATATTCAGTGTACAGTGACTTCAGGATTCAGTCAATCAACCATGATAACATGCCCCAGGGACAAATGAACTGCAGGAGAAACAGGAAGCTGGACCAGTTTGCTGGTTAGGTCTGTGAGCACAGGTTGTTTTCCCTTTGAAATGGTTCCATGAGCTTTCAAGAGAGAAGGCTTCCACCTACCCTTTACTTGCCTAGTATCTGTCTTTTTTTGACAAACAATAACCAATTCTGCACTTTCTCTTCAAGTGTTATGAAGGGCTTCTGTTATCACAGGCTAATTGCACTGGGAAGGTGGGCCATTCCTGACAAAAATCATAAATTTATAGCTGACATCTGAAATGAAATAGATAATTTTTTTTAGTTTTCTCAAGAACAAAAGGAAATTCTAGGTATATAATTCTGAATGATGACTTAGGGTATTTTTTTAATTCTACAGTTGTCTTTAAATGCTGTCTATGGCATTTTAAGTAGAAATTTTATCTTGACTTACATTCATTCATTTGATAATTTGTTTGGAGCTTCTTAGCAGACTGCCTTCTGAGTTCTAGTATTTTACTTAAATATACCAGTTCTTGATGAAAACAATTTAAATGTAAGTGAGAGAAATGTCTGGGCATCTCTCTCAACCTATTAGACTCTCCAGATTGTTCTGATGGATGCACGATGCCTCAGCTAATTTGCCTCATTTTAACTTCTGTCACAGTAATAGCTCTAATACTGACTGCAGATTAGTATCTTAGATTATAGGAAGTGACTCCAATTCAGTCTGGATATCACAAAGTGTCTCAATCAGTGCAAACATGTGAGGATTTTCTTCTCCCAGAAAACCATCAATACTTAGGGAATGAAAGAGACTTATTAGGCCCAAATTTATGTGAAACTCTTCAGGACAAAAAGTAGCAATCAGCAAAGAGCAGTCAGGAAACAGATTTTATTTCCAAGAGAAAGGCATATAATCAGATTTTTAAAAAACTGGACAGAGGGTGTGGGGATGGAAATAGAGATTTGTTCAGTTTTTAGAGTAAAAATATTCTTTAATTTCTGATGTTTATATTTTCCTCTATTGCCATTTCTAGTCATACCCTAGTGTGCCCAAGATAGAATTGGATTCTGGATTTAAACTGGGTTCTGTTGTGGGTCCAAGGAAGAAGAAAAGAAATGTGGTCAAGCATTAGATGAAGACACTTTTTTCTGCTCACAGGAATCCTTATTGCATTAATGGAACACAGATTATTTATACATCACTGTTTGCCATATATCATTCTTATTAACAATTAAAAAGGAAAATACACATGAAATGCATTGATTAAGACATTCCTAACACATCTTCACATGTAGGGTTGATTCCCAAATCCCTTTTTAAAATTTAATTTAATATCATTTTATTTTGCAGTAAAACATGTACCATGAGGTCTACTCTCTAAAGTTTTTAAGTGTACAACACAGTATTGCTGACTACAAGCACAAAGCTGTACAGAAGATCTCTAGAATATATTCATCTTGCTTAACTGGAACTTGATACCCATTGATTAGTACTTCCCTTTACCCCGCCTCCAGCCCCTGAAAACCACCACTCCACCCTTTGATTCCATGAATTTAACTCTTTTTGGAATCATACAAGAGGACTCATGCACTGCTTGTCCTTCTGCAACTGGTTTAGTTCACATAGCAAAATGTCCTCAAGGTTCATCCACACTGTCAGATTTTGTTTTGAAGAATTTGTTTCTTTTTAAAGACTGAAAAATATTCCACTGTATGTTGTATTAGAAAAACCTACATTCTTTCCCTCTGCATAGGAAAACCCAGCTCTTTCCTCCTGTCTTTCCCTGCTGTGTGCGTCCTTTCTGTTCACACAGAACACTTCACTTCAGGCCAACAACATGTAGAGGTTTTTCCTTACTCCAAGTAATTCTGTGAAACACCAGCTGAGTCTCTTTATAACTCAATTCTGACACTATCCACATGAAGATAGCATTGGATCCCACAGGTTAAGGGCTCAGCCCCACAGAACAGCTCCTCCCTTACCTCAGATGCTAATCCTAAGCAGTAGGCAGTACGTTGGGCAAGTTCTGGGAGGGTGTAATAGTGGGTGCTTCTGCCCCAAGGACTTGCGGCTGCCAATCTGGAAGCTCTCCAGACTGCTACTGTGGGATTTTCTGGAGGCTTCCTCGTGTAGGCATGATGTATCCTCACCTCCATTTCCAGCCTCTCTCTCTTTAGAGAAGGGAGGAACACAGAGCTGAAAATTCAAGCTCTCATTCATAGCTTGGTTTTACTGGTGACCAGCTCCCATTCAAGACCACCTAGGAGCCCACCCAGAGTCACCACATTAGACCATAAGATTCTCCTACTGCTCTTATCATTTAGGAATTTACAAGCGTTTTAGGGGCTCTGTGCTAGGACTGTGGGCAGAGACCGATGTGTATATTTTCTATTACTTCACATATGTATATACCTCATTTTCTTTATCCCTTCATCTGTCTTTGTACATTTAGGCTGTTTTCGCAACCTGACTATTGTGAATACTGTTGTAATGAACATGGGAGTACTAATATCTCTTCAAGATTCTGATTTTAATTCTTCTAGATGAATATCTAGAAATAGGATTGCTGGATCATGTGATGGTTTTTCTTTTAATTTTTTTGAGGAAACTTTACAGTATTTTCCACAGTGGCTGTGCCATTTACATTCCCAGCAACAATGTAAAAGTTTTCCAATTTCTCTACATCCTTGCCAACACTTGAAGTCTTTATTTTTTTCCTTTTTTTTTGGTAATAGCCATCCTGACTGATGTGAGGTGATATCTCTTTGTGATTTTGATTGTTCAAGACCCAGAATGGTAAACTCATAGACGAAAACATAGGGGCAAAGCTTCACGACATTGGTCTTTGCAGTGAATTCATAGAAACAACACTAAAACACAGACCACAAAAGCAAAGATGGACAGGTAGGACTGCGCCCAGTTGAAAAGCTCCACACAGCAAAGGAAACCATCAACAGAGTGAAAAAGTGATCTACAGAATGGAAGAAAATATTTGTAAACCATGTACCTGATAAGGGGTTAATCTCCAAAAAATAAAAGGAATTCCTACAACTCAGTAGCAAAAAAAAACTAATAATCTGATTTTAAAATGGGGTGAAGACTTGAAGAGACATTTCTTCAAAAAGACATACAAATGGCCCATGAGTATATGAATAAGTTCTTGTTTTTACTAATTATCAGGAAAATGCATTTTTTTAATTAAAAGGCATCTTACTGGATCTGCCATGTGAGTCAGACACAGTGCTACGTGCCAAGCTCCAACAGGGGAGTGACACATGGTCCTGAAACTTGGGGAGTCACGATGTGTGTTTCTCTTTCAACATTTTTGGAAAAATGAAATGAAATCAAATTGTAAACTTCTCAAGTGGTATTTAATTTAACATTGCTTGTTTTACTTCCAGAAGGAAATTTTCTAACAAGACCCCAAGTCTCTAGCTATTTGGTATCCAGAGTAAAAACTACTGACTAAAAAGGAAAAAAAATGCAGCTTCTAATAGGAATTTCATTATTTTTAAGGAAGAATGACAAGTTCAAGAGGGAGTTTTTCCTGATGGCCTCCCAGATATAGTCATGTGTAAAGTGGATGCTCTGCTCTTTACATATCCACACATAAGACATAGAGCCATGCAAGATGGGTGTGTGCTGTAGCTAGCTACCACTCCTATCTCATTTTATTGTGACTTTTAAAGAATAATATTCCACTGAAGAATAGCTCTGGGACCCACACTCAGTTTGGCTGACTGCATGAAAGTAGGCATGAGCAGGGCTTTGTGGGCAAACCTGGGGTCCTGGAGTCCCTGAACATCCCATGCAATGACTGAGGCTCCTTTTGGGAATGGGGAATCAGTTTGGCCCTGACTTTGAGTGATTGTGCAGGTGGTTTTGGTTTTGGAAGTTTTGTCTAAGTCAATATTAGAAAAGGTGGTCTTCTAAAGCTGTGTGGTTGACTTTTAACCACATAAGACTAAGTAAGAGACTAGAACACCTTGGCTTTCTGGCACTTTGCCCTTGGTGGTGACCATCTGTTTGCACATGGGTGGGCTGCTGGTTCCCAGCGAACAGGGTCTGTGTGCAGTAGGACTTGAGCAATTGTGAAATCAGAGGTTCTCTGCAAAGGCAAGAGTTTGAACATTCTCTTTGAAGAAAGAACCTATGGTTTACCACTACTTAAATCGTATAATCTATCGTGTCCAAAATCTTGCAGCTGG